AACGCGCCGACTTCTCCAGCGGGCGCAGGAAGTCGCCGCGCAGCGCGCGGAGCGAAGAAACCCAGGGTACCCCGGCGAACAACAATTGGTTTCTTGATGCGCGCCCCCACTGCATACTATATACCCCCCCTCGCTCGCCGCCGAATCACACAGATCATCGTTCGGCCGATCACGAACCTCGCACCGCCCGGGCGCGCGCAGGCCGTTCCCCAAACGGCGGGCGCGGCTCGGCCCGCACAGCGAGAGGAGGACGCCGAAGACTTCAACCGGACTTGATTGGACAGGACACGCGAGACGACAAACAGACCCTTCCGAGGGCCACATTGCCATGGGAATGTAGGAGGCATGGGTTGCGAGACACAGGACGCAAGGGTACCCTTGATTTGGTACCCTGCACTTGTAAGAGACCCGTGCCACTGCGATACATGAACCACTCTCCGAAGGCGGAACTTCTGGGCCGCGAGCTTCCAAATGATCGGCGCTGCCCTCCCCTCCGCCGTGCCACGCAGGCGCCCTCGAAGGTGGCGACAGTTGCGGTTGCGCAGTTCGCAGGCCCCCAGGGAGCCGCGAGGTCCCACATGACCTGCGCTACCCTTCACTCCGCCTTGCCTCCCAGGAGCCCACGAAATTGGCGGCAGTTGCCACGAGGACCCAAATGATTTGCTCTGCCCCATCTCCACCGTGCCACTCAGAAGCCAACGAGAGTGGCGACGGTTGCGTAGTTCGCAGTCTCAAGGGAGCCACGAGGTTCCAAATGACCTGCGCTGCCCTCACCTCCGTCGTGCCTCCCAGTGGCCCACGAAAATGGCGACAGATGCGCAGTTCGCATTCCTCAAGGGAGCTGCGAGGTCTCTGCGCTGCCCTCGCCTCCGCCTTGCCGGCCAGGAGCTCACGACAGTGGCGACCCTTGCGCAGTTTGCAGCCCCCCAAGTAGGACAGGCCCGAGAAGGGAGGCAAGGAGGTAGGAGAAGGATGAGGGAGGAGGCGAGCAGGAGGGGGAAGCGGATGGAGGCGCGCGAGCAGTGCTCTGTTCAAAGCGAAAAAAACAACAGGAGGGCTGGGAACCAAGAGGATGAGAGGAGGATGAGCGCTCGTCCGCTGCTGGAGGGGAGCGCCGCAAGGCGTCTGTCGGCCCCTGGTGTCCCGTGTCCCTGGCCTCCCCATGTGTATACTTTGCTCGTTGTTACTGGTAAGTCACTGGTAAGTCACTGGTAAGGCACTGGGGTGGGAGGTAAGTCACTGGCGAGTCCGCGGCGACCAAGGCGGGTCGCCGCCACGGGCGCGAGTCGCGGGCGCGGGCCGCCAGCGGGTCGCAGTGGCAGCTCTCGCGCGCAGGTCGCTGGCGGGTCGCCCAGGGCAGGTCCCCGGCGGGTCGTAGGTCGCAGGCGCGTGCCGCCCGCGGGTCCTGGGTTCGAGCTGCGGGCGCTGGTCGCGGGCGCGGGTCGCGGGTCGGCAGGCACTGGTCGCGGGCACGGGTCGCGGTCGCGCGTGTCGCGAGCGGCTGCGGGCGCTCGCGCGCCGCCGGGGCGCGTCGCAGTCGGCGCCGTCCCCCGGCCCTCCTCCACCCCCTCCCCCCCGTCCAGGCTCATACATACACGTGTGCAAGATGTGCGTGTGTGTGTGTGTGTGGTGTATAGGGTTTGTGATGCGTGGTGCGGGTTGTGTGCGTGTGGTGTGCTATGTGTGTTATGTGTGAGTGATGCATGGATCGTGCGTGTGCTGCGTGTTGTGTGTGTCAGGTGTGGTGTGTGAGTGTGTGTGTGTGTGCGCGTTGTGTGTTGGGTGTGTTGCGTGTGCTGGGTGTGCTGTGCTGTGTGTGCGTGTTTGTGTGCATTCTGTGCATTATGTGTGCTGTAGGCATAGTGTATGTGCGTGGGTGTGTTCCGTGTGTGTGTTGCTTGTGGTGTTGTGTAAGGTGAGTGTGTGTGTGTGTTCGTTCCGTGTGTATCATGTGTTGTACGTCACGAGTTCCATTTGGGGAGGATGTCTCAGGCGAAACTGCCTTTGCCTAAGATTCGCGTTGAGAATGAGCTCGATGGTTGGAGGATGTCTCACGCGAAACTGCAATGTTCTAAGAGTCGGGCTCGAAATGTTTGATACTGTGGTTGAATCAAGCTGTGTTGTTGGATTGTTGGACCGTGACGACGCGATCTGCGTGGGAGGTGCGTCCACTTTTCAAAAATGTTGAGGATGCCCCGAGCGAAATGGCCAACAACCAGAAACGCGGCTTCACAATTAATCGCCCTGAGCTCTAATCCCTCGGAGAGGTGCGAATGATTATGTGTATATCTATACACACATACATACGTCTGGACGTCGCAAGCCGACGGCGCATCTTTGCAGTATTTTGTGCATTGTCCATCTCTGCTATCCTTCCTCTTCTTCTCTTACTCCGTGTGCTCCTCCTCCTCCTCCTCCTTCTCCTCCTTCTCCTCTATTCGCACTCACTCAGGCATGTGCTTCACGTTTTTAGTTGCAGTGCGATTTGATCACGGTTCTTGCTGTTGCGTGAGACGTGTCACTGGGGAGGCCACTTCGTGCAACGAACAAGAGGCTGCTACAATCACTTACCTCCAATTCGACAGCAAACCGACCGACCGACCGAGGAGAAGCAGGATAAGGATGACCATAGTCGGACGCATCAGAGATGCTGCGATACATCATTGCGTCCTAAATCCCTTCCTCACAAGTCCCTGCGCACATTTCTTCACTGCGAGAAGCACCCCTTTTAAAAGACGGACGCCCCATGTCCAAGGCGGAGATTTATCCATAACCAACTCCTGGCCGATCGAGCCTCGGCGGCCTCGGCGGGCGGTGGATATGGGCACATTCGGGCCCCCGGAGGAGCAGAATGTACCGAATGTATCCAGATCCTCTGCCCCCTGAGGTCCCAGGACGTCGGTTCCTCAGGCGATGGACATGGATGAGTGCCCCCCTCGCACCATGGTCCTCCCACTCAGGCAGAAGGACATGGACCGAGGGGCGGGAAGGGAAGGCCGAGAAGGACTCCGCTCGAGGCGCGCCTCCCCTTGATGCCGCGGGCCGGCCCGCGGGTCGTAAGCTTTTGGTGCCGCCCAGGGTCCAGAGCCCCAGAGGCCCCCGTGAGTTCCCCAGACTTCGTGCGGACGATTGCTCCACACCCGCAAAGCTGGGGCTGTTAGATTCCATGGGAAGAGCTCCTGGCCTGCCTCGCACACCCTGCATACCGCTCCGCCTCCGCCAGGCCAAAGGCCCCAAGGGTGCAGGTGTTCCTTGGGAATACCGCCTCGCGTTCTCGGGTAGGGATTGCTCGAAGCAAAACAATTGTTCGATCCCAGCGTTTTCCCCGCATTTCTGGGCCCAGAGGAGGTCGCTGTTTGTAGGCGCCTCTAGGCCATCAAACGAATTCGTGGGAAAGTGTTGCTACTGGGGAAGGAGCCGAGATTCTTGAGGGGCCCGCGGAGTGACAAAAATCAGTCCAGCGGATACCCCCGAAGGCCCCAGGAGGTCCTGGAGGCACCACAACTGGCGCAAGAGATCCCAACTCCTCGAGCCTCGAACCTCCATCCCCAATCCTTGAACCTCCGATCCTGAGAGGGGGAGACTAGCTCAGGAGGTAGACATCGAGCGTGGATCGGCGATACCTCGCCGATAGATGGGCGGTAGGTCCCCGAGAGACCGCAGGCTCCTGGGCGGGGTGGACTATCAGGCCCCACATCAGCGATGAATGGGCGCTTGGGGTGGGAGGAGGGGGGGGGGGGGGGGGCGATCCTCCTTCGCTTCCTCCTCGTCTTTCCCCTCCTCCTTCCTCCTCCTTCTCCTCCTCCTCCTCCTCCTCCTCCTTCGTCCTCCTCGTCATCCTCCTCCTCGTCCTCCTCCTCCTCCTCCTCCGCCTCCGCCTCCGCCTCCTCCTCCTCCTCCTCCTCCTCCTCTTCATCCTCCCTGAGCCTGCGTATGGTCAGGGGCTTTGGCTCAGCGTGTCGCGCAGCCGAGTTTGGCCCACCACGCCTCAGCGCGACAGGCTTACTATGTCCCAGTCCACAGGCGTCCATGCCCCGAGCTCTTCCCAGCCTCCCGCATTCTTCATGGGACATCCTTACATACCACGATCCCGAAACTTGAAATCCCAGCAGTTCCACCAATGGAAGGCCAGAGGTATTCAAAGCCTGGTTATCACTAGCGCGACGCACAGTATTCTGCAATATGCCAAACAACTACACGGGCGGAGGCCAACACGTTCTCGCACTGTGGCTATCGCCTCGGCGTTTCTCGACAGGTACTTCCACGAATCTACCATTGCGTAACAGTTGTACGGATGGCGGGCGGTTCCTCTTTCAAATGGGGCTCTCGCTGGAGACTCCGCTTGACTGTATGACCAGAAGCTGCGCGCGTGCAACATCTGCACGGACATGCAGGGCGGCTCCCTCTCAGAGCGGGGATGCCGCTGTGCACTGATGCGAACTTCAGAGCCCACCCTGCCGCACTGCAGCTCGACGGCTGGGCGGCGGCGTCCTTCGAAACGGAGCCTCAGCCCACGAGGCGCTCGTCTTTCAGAGGGGGGCGCTTCGCGCAGTGAAAAATCATGCTCGTAGGGATGCAGCACTGGGGGAGCGACCTTGGGACGGGATCGCCTGCTCCTCCTCCTCCTCCTCCTCCTCCTCGTCCTCCTCCTTTTCCCCCCTTCCTCAAGCCCCCCTCCACCCCCTCCACCCCCTCCGCCCCCTCCACCCCCTCCACACCCTCCACCCCCCCACCCCCTCCCCCCTCCCGCCCCCTTCCCCCCCCCGTGACATCCGCCATCATGCTCTTGTTCCATCCACGCCCCAGAGGCCCCGACCGCTTCCCCGCGGCAAATGTCTCGCCCGAGTTACATGTTTTATGGTCAGTGGGCCCGATAACCACCCCCAAAAGGCAAAGTCGAGGAGAAAAAAACACCGGTTCCCAAAGCACAAACCTTCGGAGACCTGGGAACGGCGGCGCGACGCGGCCCGAGCCGATCTGCAGACCTCCGCCCAGGGAGCCCCAGGCCAGCACCTCTTCGAGTCGCTCGGCCGCGGCACCGGCTGCGCCGGGGTCGCCCGGCCCCGCTCCTGGCGTGCGGCGCGCGCCTCATGCTCGCGGGCGTCCGCGCCCCTCCGCCCCGAACCATCGAGGCTCGAGGATCGCTCCTCGGAGCTCGAGGGTCGAAAGTCGACCCGGGGATCTGGGCGTGGCAACCTGAAGTCACGCTGGGCGTTCTCGCCCGGTTCCGGGCCCTGGGACCACCACGGATCGATCTGGCGCGTAAGATGCCAGAAAAGATGGGGTCTGCTGGGGTGACTGCGGCGGGGTGATGAGGAGATAGTGGGCTTATGCGTGGATGCTAAGGTGGCTTAGATATGGCCTGACTTAGCTTAGTAGTGGGTTAGAAGTGCCCTACGTGGCTTAAGATCTGCACTAAGTGCGCTGCGCCCATTTCGCAGAGTTATCGAACCCACCCAAGCCACACAGGGCACTTGTGACCCACTTATACATGGGTCGTTCGCAGGTAGTACACACCCTAGCATTCACTTGTAACCTCCTATCCCCTCAGTAACCCCCGCGGCTATCCCAGTAGAGCTCCAGCCCTGATTGCTTGCGACGTTGCCCTTGTTTTCGCAACGTCGGATCTCAAGGAAAGGTCTCTCTCGCCGGTCCGGGGGCCACCGGGCCTCCAGAGGCCTCCAGGTGGGGCCTCTGTGTGGCTTCAATACGCGTCCACCGCCCGGGGGACCGGCGCCCCAGGGCTCCCTGGAGACGGTGGGTACGGACATCTTTGGGCCCCCCGGGGGCCTCGAGCTGTCCATGTCTCGGCGACTCCGGCGGGTGTGGCTGCAGCGAGCCGAAAAATCGGATCGAATCGGAATGTGCGTCGAATCGGGCAGCATCGGCACGGAGTCGAAGCCGACTCGGATCAACTGCGCCAGGATGCACAACGGCGCCAACCAAGCCTCGGGCCGCATTGGATCATCGGAATTGCAGAATCGAGTCGTATCGGGCTGGCCGAACCCTGAATCGAATGGGATCGAGCAGGATCAAAATGAACCTTGGAGGACGGAACCATCGAGCTCCGAACTCTCGCCTGCGGTGGCCGTGTCGAACCCAATGCGCCACACGGCAGCTCCCTTTCTTCGGCCACTGACTTGGCTGGCTCGTCACACGTGTAGCGAGGCAGGGGTGTATCCACATCCACCGCCTGTGGAGGCCACGTCCTGAAACCCTACGGGCAATAGATGTGGTCATTGGCCAATTCCGGAAACCCTGAACCAAAAAATGATGTACTTACTTCCGCCGGCGGAGCCGCCCCCGTTTTACGTCCGCCGCCTTCCGCCGACCGCCGCCTTCCGCCAGGGAAGAGATGTCAACTCATCCGCTCCTCGAAGGCGAGGGCCTTTCTGGTACGCTCCATACCCAAAACCCCGGCGTCATGATCCTGTCATGACATTGGCCCCAGGACCGTTTTTTCATCTTGAATCGTTTTTGGACGGCCCTGGGGCCCGTGAAGGCCCCCAAAGCCGAAAATTGCTAAACACTTTCCGTCGAGATTTCCCATGACTCGAAGTGATTTTCCATGACTCGAGGGGGTCTTGGTATCTAGGGATCGACCGGGTCAAAATGGGCCATGCACTGCCCCCCCCCCGAGAGAGGCTGGGCTGCTCCTTGCAGGCGCAGCGCGGCCGACGAGGCTACCAGCAAGCAGCACGCCGCGCAGAGCGTCGCGCCGCGCCGTGGCATGGCCGCGCTGCGTGTGCCTCGCGGGAAGGGGGGACAGGATCCCCGCAACGAGAAAATATGAACATATACACTCCGACAAAGCTACACGTGCTTTCAGGGAGGACGCAAATGTATGGAACCGCTGGCGCTCTCAATGGTGATTTATACACCGCCCCCCCCCCCTGAGGCCCAGGAAGGATACATTGAAGGGTGTCGTTGTATAACTGTTGTGGCGGAGGATCGGCCCGCATCGAATTGCGAAAACTGGATCGAAGCGGGATGGAAAGTGGCACGGAGCCGGAACCGAATCCGATCGGCCGCGCCAGGGCGCACAAGAACAGTACGCAAGCGTCGGGGCAAATCGGATCAAAAAAACATCATAATCGAATCGGATGGAGCAGACCGGAATCGGTGTCGAATCGGATCGATCGGGTCGACATGGACCATGGGGGAGGGGGCGGGACCGCTGCGCCCGCTCTTTGTTCCCTCGCTGGCAGGGGCCCACGTCGGGCCCGAGCGTGGCAGTCCGACTCCGCCTGCTCCTCCTCCGCCTCATCCTAGGTCCTCCTCCAGCCCAAGGATCTCTCGGCCCACACGACCAAAGCCCACTGCAGTAGGATCGACGTGCGCGACGACCGCGCAACGCTGTGGGAGAAGCGAGAAAAACGATGCGGCAAACGAGTCTACGAAGCAAGGGTGCTGCCCTACGCCTCGAGAAAAGCTGGTCGGTGGAGCGGGCGGTTGCACAGGCTGGTGGGGTAGGAGTAGGAGTAGGAGTAGGAGTAGGAACCGATGGCGGTGCCAATCCCGACCGACGCTACCACCGACCTCGCTGGACCAATTCGGCCTTGCTGAGGACCTTCCAGGGTAGCCCATCACTAATCCCACCAGCCCTTTAGGGCGTAGGTGGTCTAGGGAGTTTCCTCTGCCAACCCCCTTCTTCCCCTTCGGGGAGGGGTTTACCCCTCCCCTTACCCCTCCCCACTGACCTGGACGGGGCCGGTCGCGAGGTGTCAGAGCGTCCAAGATGGCCCAAGACAGCTCCAAGAGCGAACAGGCGAGAAAACACAAAACATTGATTTTACCTAGGTTTTGGAAGGATTTTGGCATCTTGGGGGGGCCCAAGAGGCGACTCGAGGCACTCTGGAGGGGCGGGGCTAATAAGCAACCCCCCCTTCTTTGATAGATCTCCTCCAAGATGGCCCAAAGAGCGCCCCGAAGGCTCCCAAGAGCGCCCCAAGAGCGCCTCAAGAGGGCCCCAAGAGACCCCAAGAGGCCCCCAAGAAGCCTCCAAGACGTTGCCAAGAGACCCCCAAGAGGCCCCAAGAGAGTCCAAGATGACCCAAGACGGCTCCAAGAGCGAAAAGGCGAGAAAGCAACAAACATTGATTTTACCCAGGTTTTGGAAGGATTTTGGCCTCTTGGGGCGCCCAAGAGGCGACTCGAGGCACTCTAGAGGGGCAGCGCTAATTGGGGAACCCCCCTTCTTTGATAGATCTCCTCCAAGATGGCCCCAAGAGCGCCTCGAAGGCTCCCAAGAGCGCCCCAAGAGCGTCCCAAGAGAGCCCCAAGAGGCCCCAAAAGGCCCCCATGAGGCCTCCAAGAGGCCCCCAAGAGACCCCCAAGAGGTCACAGAGGCTCCCAAGACGGGTCCAAGAGCGAAAAAGCGAGAAAACAAAAAACATTGATTTTACAGGTTTTGGAAGGATTTTGGCCTCTTGGGGGGGCCCAAGAGGCGACTCGAGGCACTCTAGAGGGGCAGCGCTAATTGGGGACCCCCCCTTCTTTGATAGATCTCCTCCAAGATGGCCCCAAGAGCGCCTCGAAGGCTCCCAAGAGCGCCCCAAGAGCGCCCCAAGAGGGCCCCAAGAGGCCCCAAGAGGCCCCCAAGAGGCCTCCAAGAGGCCCCCAAGAGACCCCCAAGAGGCCACAAGAGGCTCCCCGAGATACGCAAGAGGCCCCCGGGACCGCCAAGAGGCCCCAAGGACGGCCCAAGAGGCCCCCAAGCTCGCAATTGTCCTCCTCCTCCTCCTCCTCCTCCTCCTTTCTTCTTCCTCCTCCCTCCTCCCCCTCCCCCTCCTCCTCCTCCTCCTCCTCCTCCTCCTCCTCCTCCTCCTCCTCCTCCTCCTTCTCGTCCTCCTCGTCCTCGCAGTCCTCCATCTCCTCCTCCTTCTATTCCTCCTCCTCCTCCTCCTCCTGCTCCTCCTCCTGCTCCTCCTCTTCCTCCTCCTACTCCGACGACGACGACGGCTCCTCCTACATCCTCCCCCTCTTGGTGTATATGGCGGCTCACCCCGCCCTTTGTTCTTCTGCATGCTCCCCCGCTTCCCTCATAACCTCCACTCCCCTGGGACTCATTTCTGGACGGGCTGGTGGGGATACGCGAAGCGTCTAGAATTATCCTGAGGTGTTGCCGTCCCGTGGGGGTGAGGATGCCAGAGCATGGCTTCGCGAGGGCCCGCAGCTGCTTGTCAGCCGTAGCCCCGCACCTCCCACATAACCAACCATTCAAGACAACATGCGCGTTGAGGTGATGGGAGGTGTGCAGCCAGCCCCCCCCCGACATGTACTCGCCCTCCGACTGGAGGGAAGAAAATGAAACCGTTCACATCCACTAAATCGGGGCAAGCTGTGGTGTGCCATTCTTGCATGGTGGCCAAGGTCGCAGAACCTCGGCATCTCGTGCAAGGCTTTGTGCCGTCGGTCAACACATGCCTCGACGTCAGGGCCGCAACAGACGCAGCAGCGGAAGGAGGCGGAGGTGGTGGAGACAGAACGCCCTACGCCTTTTTTCCATCGCATTGTTTTTCGAACTCCTTTCCTTGGTCAGGAAACCGACTGCCGCCCGCAAGAGCCTGAGGCGCACCAAACGTGCGCGTCGCTCGTGCAGCAGGAGACGGTGCCTTTCGGCCTCGGGTGCTCTGGCCTGTGCTGCTGCTAGGCCTGCCAACTCGTTGACGACTGCACTGCCGATGCTGAGTTGTTTGATGCCCTCACCTCTGGCCATCTGGGCTGCCGAGAGGTGAGAGTGAGTGAAAAGAACAGAGACATGCTCGGTGGGACGGGTCACCATGATCTGACCGATGACCGCCCAGATGTCCGCATCAGCTCCTTTGGGCCTGCGAAACCTCTGCTCATACCGCCCCGTGACAACATCTTCAAACGCGGTGACAAAAGTGAGGTGGTGGGTGGTGGCCCACAGTGCCAATTGGAAGCACTTGCGCCCTCCTCTCGCCACCACCTGTCTCCGACCACACAGGGGTCCAAAGATAGACCCTCTGGGACGAATGATGGGCAGCAAGCTCTCAAACCATGTAATGGCCAGGCCGACTCGGCGTAGCCTGGGACAACGACTGTCTGGGCCCCCGCTGGCATCGCCAAACGTCAGCACAAGGTTGGCGGCGGTACCTGGCCCAAACATGCCCGACGCCAACTCTGGACCACCCGTAAATTGCCAGGCTTCGGTGGTCGGAGGCGGGCTCACCTCCGTCCAGAGCACGGGGAGGAGCCCGCGCAACCAGAATGCCTCAGCCGTGTTGCACTGGGTGACCGCTTGCGTGCACAGGTCGGCCGAGTCGTCGTATGGCTTCGCTCCAACATTGCACTCGCACTGCCAATATCTGTGAAACGGGGTCACCACGTCCGTGCCACACCTGTCGCATTTGTCGACCATGATCTCGCACAGCCTCTTCCCGTTGGGTACCTGTGACATGTGCTTCAGCAGCTGGATGTATGATGTATTGTCCACTCCGATCTCCAGGCCCCCTCCACAGAAGTGCTTGGCAACTTGAGTCCAGAGCTGGGACGCACACGCCGCGCGCACATCTGCCAGGAGGTCGTCGTGTCGGTCAACGTGCGGGTTCCCCGTGTAGATGGTGTCTGGGAACTGCCACTCCTCGCTGCTGTCGGAACCTGTCGGGTATGACCATGTCGATGGGTCGTGGGGGTGCCAAACCAGGCGCAGCTGTGAGTGTATGATGGCACCCGTCGGTCCATTGATGAGCCGCACCTGTGCAGGCACTGGGATGGCCTGCATCTGTCACACTATGATAGGCCATGCTCGTCGTACCCCTGGTCGGATCTCGGGTCGGTCGCGCCAAGTTTTGAGCCATGTGTCCACCGTCTGAGTCAGGTAGAACACCGCTGGATCGGCCCCTGGGGCCCGTAGGGCAAGCACTGTAGTGAGGCAGCGTCCCTTCGCCGATGAGGCACAGGCTTGCGCCAGGCGACGGCGACACCTCGTGAGCTGCTCGCCGAACAGCCCGTGGACATGGTGCCAGTAGAGGCCTGCTGGGAGGCCCCCCTGTCGTTGAAGCTTGGTCATGGCTCCGTTCTGGCGCGTAGCCCTAGTGAATCTGCGAATCTTAGAACTCATGAGTCGATGTTTCTTCTCACGATGTACTCTGGTTGTGCGCACTCGTCTGCCACATCCAAAGTCGATGCCGAGGTATGGTGCATGGGCGACTGGTCGCACCACGAAACCTGCTCGGTGGACAAGACGGGCGACAGCACGAGCGTCACTCACCAGACTACATACAACAACAGACTTATCCGCAACCTTGAACTTCCGTTTGTGCAGCTCCTGGCACGTAGTGATGATGCCACTGGCGAGCTCCAGGCGGACGGCCCTACTCGATCCCTTCACTGTCTCAGACACATCGTCCACCCAGAGCCTCGCCCCCATCCTTGGATGGGCAGTAATGACTGTGATCATGATGTGGTCGGCCAGGGCCACGCTGACCTCCCTGGAGCAGTGCTCTGCGGGCCGCAGAGGGCCCGGAGGAAGACGCTCACTCAACGCCGTTTGTGTGGCGCGACTCGCCCTGCCCCTTCTGCCAACCGCTGACGCAGGTCCGCCGCAGCAGCCAGCTGATGGTTTCGTGCCGGTTCGTGACGTCGGGTATGGCCTGAATGGCCACCCGATGCTGCACGCGCGTGTCATGGCCAGGTCGGGCCGTGACGACGACAAGTCTTTGAATTGTTGTTGTGCCTGCGGCGCCTTCTTCCCTGGCGAGGGGCTCGCGCTGGCCCTTGTTCGACCGTGCCTCCGAGAGCAGGCGTCCTCAGGCTTGGCCGATCGGCTTCGTCGGATCAGGGCGAGCCGCTGGCCGTCTTTTAAGCAAGGTCTGAAGAACCTGCACCTCGGGCCCTCCGAAGGGGGTCCCGAATGTCTGCCGTGTTTGGCCCTAGCGAGTCGACTGCCAGTTCCTCGGCTCAGGACGTGGGCGTCGACGGTGGGCTTCGGGGGGCGGGTACTTCGCGGGGGGGACGACGTCCCGAGCCGAGGTGCTGAGGGCTTTCGGCTTTGAGAAGGAAGAGCTCCCCGCCATCCGGGCGGAGGCGGCGAGACTCCTCGGGAGGGAAGCCGAGGAGGGGCCGGACGTGCCCCATCGACGATCTCGGGGAGGCCTCATCGGAGGCCTCCGACGGCGGGCCAGCGTAGCCCGACCGCACCTGGCTTCAGGCCGCTTGCTCACCTCCTCGCGCCCCGTCCGCCTCCTCCTCGTCCTCGTCCTCGCCCTCCTCCTCCTCCAAAAAGTCCCCCCCTCCCCCTCCACCCAGAAAAAGAGAAAGATGGGCAGCTGAGACATACAGTATGACGGCCCCCCGGAACGAGCAGGATGGGAGGAGCGGAGGAGGGAGGAGGAATAAGGAGAGGAAGAGGAGGAGTAGGACGACGGCGACGACGACGACGACGACGGTGGCGAGAAGGAGAAGAAGAGACGATGAGTAGGATGGAGGCGAGAAGGATAGAAGCAGGACGATGGGAGAAGAAGAAGAAGAGAGATAGCAGCAGCAGCACGCGCGACGACAACGACGGCGGGGCCTGTCCTGAGATGAGCACTGGCCAGAATTTCGAAGGGAATTCAGCCAGGCGACGAAAGAGCTCCCCCGAATTATCTGCCACCGAGCCTTGTGCTCGTGGGGGCAGGTTAGAATGCTCCTGTGCTGTCTGGGAGATAGTTTGGAATGTTCTAGGGCCGCCCCCCTCTCATCGCACTCGCCCCTCCGAAACGCCTCACACCCCTGAATTTGCTCTCCGGCGCTCTTCTCGGCCTCCAAACGGCCGAGGCGGCCTCCAAGACGGCCCAAAACGACTCAAGAGGCTCCCAAAACGGCCGCAAGACAGCTCAAGAGGCCCCCAAGACGGCCCAAGAGGGGAGGCCCTCCTGGAGAGCCCCAGCAGTTCCCAATAGATTTTGAAGCTCTCGCCTGTTGGTTTCCGACCGCCCAAAACGGCCCAAGAGGCCTTCGAGAGGCCTCCACGATAGCTCCAAGACCGCCCAAGAGGCCCCCAAGAGGGCCCCAAGTCGGCACAAGAGAGAACCCGAGAATCGCTGAGAAGCCCCATGAGGCTCCCAAGGAGCCTAGGAGGCCCCCAGGAGGACCCCAAGAGGCCCTCAGGAGGCTCCCAAGTCCCAGGAGACCCCCAGGAGGCCCCAAGAGGACCCCAAGGAGCCTTTTCCTCCTCGTCCTAATTGTCTCCCTCTCCTCCTCCATTCCTTGTCCTTATAAATAATTTCTCCCTGTCGCATCCCGAGGCCAGTCTTTAGGGCAGGCCGGGCGTTTCGCCTGAAACTTCCTCATACATGGTGACTCTATTGGCAACAGCTTCACCGATTGAGGGCGAGTCGTTTTCAAAATGTGGCTCTCGCCTTAGCGCCGCGCGCATTCCTTTACAAACATTTGCAAGAATGGCATGGACTGAAAGCGGGCGGTTTTCAAAATGTGGCTCTCGCCTTAGCGCTGCGCGCATTCGATTTAAACACTACAAAATTTCACGGATAAAAAGCGGGTGGTTTTCAACATTTCAAAATGCTGCTCTCGACTTAGCGCTGCGCACATTCGTTTTGAGAAGTGTGCAAGAACTTCACAGATTGAGGGCGGGTGATTTTCAAAATGTGGCCCTCGCCTCAGCGTTGTGCGAGAGTTTCACGGATTCACGGCGGGTGGTTTGCATGATGCGGCTCTCGCCTTAACGCCGCGCACATTCGGTTTAAAAAAATTGCAAGAGTTTCACGGCTTGAAGGCGGCTCCTTTTCAACATGTGGCTCTCATTAGCGCCACGCACTTTCGTTTGTAAACGTGTAAGAGCTTCACGGATTCCCATGCTCAACGTACCAGAACTGAAGCGTTGTGGAAGGATTCGGGATCACGTGGGTGCAACAATTACGTTGGCTCGCGGTGCTGAAATCCCAGGAACGGCGCTCTGGCACGATTCTGGATCGTCACGACGCGACAATGAAGATGATCCGTGTTGTTGGAATCCCGAGCACAATGTTTTGGCATGCTTCAGGGTCTTTTGTCTTCCAGCGAGGCAGTTCTTTCAATGGGAATGAACCGCTTTAGGGGCCTATGAAGAGTGAGCTTGGAGGGAGGGTGTATTCCAACATCGTTGATGACTCGAGGGTTTACACTGGTCCTGCTCTCCCCCCCTCCTCCTCCTCCTCCTCCCCCTCCTCCTCCTCCTCCTTCTCCTCCTCCATCCTGACACCTGTGCCGCTGGGTCCCCTTCCAGGAAAACACGCGGATTGCAGCCCGATTGTCACCTCGTCCGTGCCTGCCCGAGGGGCGTGCGCAACCCTCCTCCTTCTCCTCCTCCATCCTGACACCTGTGCCGCTGGGTCCCCTTCCAGGAAAACACGCGGATTGCAGCCCGATTGTCACCTCGTCCGTGCCTGCCCGAGGGGCGTGCGCAACCACGATGTTCGACTGGGGCGGGCGGAGGAGGGACTCCTGCTCCTCGTCCCGCGTTTTGCCACTCCCAGCCTTCCCACGGCCTGGGTCCCCCGCCCCGGCGTGCGTGGGGGAGGAGTCGTCTCGCGCGGGAGTGGTGCCCCACAGAGGCTTATTGGGGCGGCACCGGCAATGTGCATGTCGTTATCCGAGGGCGCTGGCGCCCGCTGCCTCGAAAGTGTCAGGATGCTCGGAGTGTCCAGGTGCATGCTGCCTGTTTTTTGTCTTTAAGGGTGCGAGAGCAGATGGATGCTGCTTTGAACTTCCCTCTTTTTCCCACAGGCGGACTTTGTGGAGTGGTGTTGCTGACCGTCATCCTGAAGGCGTGCCGCCTCGCAGCGGCGGGTGTGTCCTTGTCGATGCGCGGATAGGGGATGTTGATGGCATGCCACTTATTTCAAGGTCTTGTGGTGGGTCGAACCAGTGTGTGATAGGAGAGAGAAGGCTGTTGGGTTCGCAGGGTGGCGGTGTTGGTGTCAACTTTCACCGACATGCTGGGGCTCAACCGTCTGTGCGACGTGGACGGTTTCATGTTGAATCCTTTGAACTGAAATACTCATCCTCCATTCTTCTCTATCAACAACTCCTCCCCGTCGAACCCTGAGATGTGCCGGCAGAGCGGGCTGGGAGTTTCGCCTTAGAGCGCCTCACTACTCATGATCCCGGGGCCGAGAACTCTGCAACAGCTTCACGGATGGAGGACGGGTCGTTGTCCGAATGCGGCTCTCGCCCAGGCGCCACTTAGATTCGTCTCGCAGTTTGCAAGAGTTTCACCGATGGAGGGCCGGCCGTTTTCAAAATGTGGCTCTTGCCTGAACGCCGCGCACATTCGCCCTAAAAGTCTGCAGAAATTTCACGGATGGAGGCTCCATTTCAAACCGTGGCTCTCGCCTGAGCGCCGCGCACATTCGCCTTCAGCGCCTAAAAGAGCTTCAAGGATTATTATGGCTGACGTCCCAGAAGACGGTCTTGTGGCCCGATGTAAGACTGCCAGGGCGCAACGGTCACCTTGATTCGCGGTGTTGAAATCCCAGGAGTGGTGTACTGGCACGCTTCAGGATCGTCAGAACGCAACAATAAGGTTGAGTCGCGGCGTTGAAGTCCCAGACTGGTGCTCTGGCACGGTTCAGGATTTTGAACGGGGCATTGAACCTAGTGAAAAGTCGAGATCACGACCTTCCCCAGTTCAGACCCAACTCGCTGAACTGCCACGGGGTGTGAACTCGACCTCCTTCCTACCGCACGGGCGAAGACGAGATCGAGTTCACGACCCGTCCTTATCAGAACACTCGGCGGAATTGCGCTGTTACTACACTCAGCCTCCTCCCTGCTGCGCTCTTAAACAAGCACGGGGACGGGTTTGCCGCATGAAGCTGGTATAAGAAAATGCCCCAAAGGCCGAAACGAACTGCATCCTCGATCCTCGGCGATGACGACGACGTTGCCTGAGGCCACCAAATGCATCCTGTTGGCGGCGAAGGCCTCCGAGGGCTAACAGGTTCCCCCACAGGGACCACCGAAAGGGCTGCCGAGTTCTTGTTCAGCACAAATGAGCTAGGCGACTGCATGTGAACCCTAACCCCCGCAGGTTGGATTTCAGAAACAATGGCTGGGCTTCGCAATTTGAAGGATGCCTGCAGCCAAGTAAGCTCCAGCAGGAGTGTCCGATACCCCAGCGTCGAGTGGACCCGTAGGGGGTAGGGTTCGCAAGTGGTCGCAGAAGAGCCGCATCAGGCATCAGGGACGTCAGCCATGGCACGAGGCGTATGGAGCGAGACTTCTCCGCCCCATCTTGACCCAACGGGCGAACAGCTTCGTCGTCGACCCTCCGTGTCCCACTCTCGAGCACCCTCCCCTGACATCCGATGGCGATTTTTGGTTCCGTCTGCAGCCCCAGCAGAGTTCCCGACCGCTTCCCTGGAGGTAACTCGTTCTCTCTGGATGCGTTTTTTGATGGCCCCTGGGCCCGTGAAGGGGCCCCGGAAGTCGAAATCGATGCGAACGCCCGGCTTAAAGAAGTCATACCGCCACAGATCTGGGCCAGCTGGGGTCCGAGCAGGTGGCGATCGGCACGAACGACATGGTCTGGCGGGGCTGGGACGAGGATGAATCCGTTCCAGAGCGTTCCAAAGAACGCTCTCGGAGCGTTCTGGAACGCTGTGAGGAGGCCGCGGCGCCCGAAACCTCCTCCGGAGCCGTGGGATTTCAGAGATTCCTTATCCTCACCCGATTTGATCATCGCCATGGCTTCTTCTTTCACGGGTACGGTCGATTCGCATCGTGTCGACAAGCGGCGATACGCCGCCGAGAGGGCCGCCGAAGGGCCGCGCCGCGGCCTGGTACGGAGTCCTAAGGTGCGGTAGCGCGCGCGCGCTGCGGCGGCATGCCGGGAGCGCGCCGAAGCCGCGGGCACCACGGCGGGCGGGCCGGAGGCGGCTGCGGGTGGCATGCTCCCACACATGACCCTTCCTCTTCCGAAACCGAACAGAGATCAAGCTACTGGAACGAAGTCGAATCGATACCTAATAGAAGCAACATCTAACCGAAACCAAAACGAAACCGCAGCCTACTCGTATAGCAAAATCAACTCCACTTGAACCTGAAACGAAACCTACACCGAGACCAAGGCGGACCCAGCCCCCCCACCCTTACAGGCCGCCCCCGCGCCCGCCCACTCTCAAGGCCGAAGGGCGGCGAAAAGAGTAAGGAGACGAGTGGAAAGAGGGCTGCTCTCGCGAGGGTTCTTGCCTCCACGGGGTTCCATTACTCCGCCGCCCGTGCCTTGAGGGGCCAGAGTATTGGGCCCCCCCTTTGCCCGCCGCTGCCCCCTCCCGCCTCCCCTCTGCTCTCCCATCCATCCGCCCCCTCTCGCTTCTCCCTCCCCCGCCCACACGTTCCTCTCCCTCGTGCTAAGTGCTAAACTCTCCCCTGGCGCGCCACCGGATACCGGGTGTGTCCGTAGAGCGGGCCGGGCGCATCGCTTGAGACCTCCTTGCGTCAGCTTGCCAGGGGGGACGGAGGAAACTGCTGCGACGAACTTGCTCTTCCGCCCGCGAAGACAATGCACACGCTCATCGGCGGGGCGGCCAGCGAGGGGGGGAGTGAGAGGGAACAGGCCTTCTCCGAAGGCGTCGGGGCTTCTCAGCCAAAAAGCCCCGGCCTTCTGAGAGACTTTCTGTGCCTTCCGGGAAGGCTTAGACGACTTCTGAGACGGCCGGGGGACTTCCGAGCCTTCTGAGAGGGCCCGCCCCTTCTCGCTTCCACCCTGGGCTCGCCGCCGAGCGCCAAGAAGTCTCTGGGCGTCGCCCACGCAGTGCCTCGAAAAACGACCGCAGCATCAGCGCGTCCCCGACGTTCAGAACGTGGGCCTCGTCGAACGCCAGCACCTCTCTCGGCAGGGGGTCCAGGCAGACGTCAGGAGGAAGTTCCCCCCAGGAAGCACGCGCTCTGAGGTCCCCCTCCGAGGAGGACTTCTCCTCCTCCTCCTCCTCCTCCTCCTCCTCCTCCTCCTCCTCCTCTTCGTCATGCTACCCCCAACGCTCCTCCTCACCCTCCCTCCCCCCCTCCTCCTCCTCCTGCCATCCTCCCTCCTCATCCTCCTCCTCCTCCTCCTCCGCCTCTTCCTCCGCGACCTCCTCTTTCTCTCTCTCTCTCTCTCTCTCTCTTTTCTCTCTCTCTCTCTCTCTATATATGTATATATATCCTTGCCTCCTCCTTCTCCCTCTCCTTTTTCCTCCTCCTCCTCCTTGTCCTCCTCCTCCTCCTCCTCCCCGCTTCTCCTCCTCGACCTTCGGGATGGCGTCGATACATCTACTGACGCATTCCCCCAACAGATACCTCGTAGCAAATACTTGGCCGGATAGCCGAAACTGTCCGATTCTCGTCCTCCCCCTCCTGGCATCAAATTCGACATGGCGCATCTGCCAGAAGCCAGAAACACACCAGGAGACAGTCACGAGTAAGCCTGGAAAACGGAATGGTAACAGTAACGGTACGGCTCATAGTGATAGTAGCGCGATCATACTCGCAATACAATCGTTGTCGGCATGATTCTGAACCGCAGCGATGATAAGGGTAAGACGAGGAATCATAAGAGACATGCTGACATTATCTCCACCGCGCGCACAAGATACAGCATCACAGAATGTACCGCGCACCAGATTGGAGAGAGCACACCGACGGGACCGCATCGAGCACGGAGCTCAAATAGGGGAACAAAAACGGGCACAAACATAAACTTTTGGAGGTTCTCGTGAATTTCTCGGATCGGCGTCGGACACCCCTCCCTGTCGCGCGGAGCGTGCCAGAGGCAGCACTGGAGGCGCCGCCAGGGGGCTCTCTCTGGCGACGATCCGAGAAATCCGTGCGGGCCTCTGAAAGTTCATATTTCCCAGACCACGAGCGTGACGCCGAATCGGTGCTGGTGCTAGCTGTATGCTGCGCTTTCGGCTCGCACGGTACCGACTCTCGAACAAACCCCGTCGGTGGGGCCTCCGCTCGGGCAACGCAACCGAAGCCACCGTGACGGGCCGCGCACTGCCTTCCAAGCTAGAGGATGGCACCTGGAAGCGGTCTGCGCGCGGCGGCAGGGGAGGGACGTACGGCAGGTTCGTGTGCTGACTTCGGCGTTGGCTTCTGACACCGCGGGGACCGTTCATCCTTGAACGATCGGCCGATTCAGAAAAACGCCGAATCGTTCAACGAATGGCCCATTCTGGATCGCCGGCGGCGTTCAACGTTGAACGCCGGCAGCCGGGTCGCCGCCGGTCGGAACGACGCGCAGCTACCGTAAGTGGGGAGCCTGGCGCCAGTGGAAGTGTGCCGCCCGCCGCGGGCGTCCCCAGGTCATGATCGCGTCCTTTCCTGGCGTCTGCCCCACTCCTCCTGGAGGACAAGAGGACGACGACCAAGACCAAGACTGGACGCGGAAGCGGCGATGCCGATCGTGGTCAGCGTCCATCTTGGCCACCGTCGGCTCGTGGATCGTCCTGGCGAATCGGCGACAGCCTGCGTGGACCATGACAAAGTTCGGTGTCGACAAGATCATGCATCATCTTGGTCATGGACAGCGTGTTTCTTCCCTCGACCTCCTCCAGGGGGATGGAGGTGGTCGAGGATGAAGACCAGGCCCAACCCCCGCCAGAATCTGCTCCACACCCGCCCTCGGGCCCCTCCCAAGGTCCATCCTGAAGAGTTTTTCGAGACGCGTCCAACGAGAACCGTCAGGAACACAGAACCTGCAAAGCGACGACGACGTCGACGTCGACGTCGACGACGACGACGACGACGACGGGCGTGGGGAGAGGGTGCTGGCACTCTGAGAAGGCAGGTACAGCGCCTTCGAAGCACCCCCGCCTGTTGAGAAGCCTCCTTGGGAGAAGCTCGCCGTTCTGAGAGGCCCCCGCCCTCTTCAGAGACCTGTCGACACAGATGAGGTCCAGGCAGACGGGGTCGGAGGACCGCGCCGCACATCGCCGATGCATCGGCGACGTCGGCGTGGAGAAGGTCGGGCTCCACATCGAGCCGCATCGTCGACGCATCGGCGATGCGGCGCGATCCTCCGACCCCATCACTCCCCATTGCTCGGACGTCCATTCCCCGTGCTTTTTTCGATGTCGTGCGTTTAACTGCTCGCATGCGCAAGATGGTCAAGATGCTACTCGATGGTCCTCGCCTAGGGAAACATGCACACGTCCAAGCGATGCCAAGATCTACTCTGACCCCAACTAGGAGGCCTAGATTTTGAGTTGCCTCCTGGACCCTCTGAGAAGCTCCTGATTGTTCAGACGACCCCCCCCCCTCCTCGCCCCTCGCCCCTCGCCCCTCCGGAATCTGCTAGCCTGGGTCAATCCAAGCATCGCCCAGGCGAGCTTTGCAGGATTTGCTGCAGGATCCTGCAGGATCCTGCGCGCTAGCCTGGGTCAGCGCACCCCGGGCTCTGCAGGATCCTGCAAGATCTGGCGCTCTAGCTGACCATCCTTTGATTTGACCCCCGTCTCAAGGCTCCCGAGCCCCACTGGGCTCCGAACACCCTCGGGTTTCAAGAGCATTCGGTGAAGAAAAAACCCGAGGGTGAATAAAAAAAGCCCGAGGACTCACAAAAATCCGAAGGGGGGTGTCGTACACCCGCGGCGCCGGCACGGCGCTGTGCCAGCCGTGGTCCCCGCCAGGCGCCCTCTCCCCGAGGCAGGGGGCCCCCCCGCCCCCAGAGCTCGGCACTGCAGGGGCCCCCCCAGAGCTGGGAGGAGCTGTGACCGTGACCCCCCCGGGTGGTGCCCCCCTCGGAGACGAAGCCAGGACGAGGACGACTTCGGGGGAGGGTGCGTCGAGAAACTCCGAGATCCCGCGGCTCCGGAGAAGGTCTCGGGCGCCACGGCCTTCTCAGCGCGTTCCGGAGCGAACGCTCTGAGAGCGTTCCCTGGAGCGCCATGGAACGGATTCGTCCTCCTCCTGGCCCCGTCCGACCCTCGGCGCTGCCCGACGCAGAAGCGCAGGAGGGCCGGGGGGGGGCACCGGGAACTCGCTGCAGTACTCCTGCGCACACAGCCCCAGCAGGTTCCTGGGGGGCCCGGCGAGGGGAGAGCGCGGTGCCCAACAGCGGTGAGGGAGGTGCTGCCACCAGTGGAGGAGCAAGAAGGGCGTGCACCCACCGTCAGGAAACAAAGATAGCAGATTTGTGACAACTGATGCGAGCTCGCCAAAAAAAGAGGAGCCGCTGACATGTCAAACCAGGTCGCGCCATAAGAAAACGGCAGGGGCAATATCGAAGAATCAACTGTCTTATTGACCACCGTGGGCACAAGCATGAATTTCGGAACTCCGCGCGGCTGTCTCAGATCGGCGCTTGACCCCCCTCCCTGGCGCGCGAAGCGCGCAGTGGGCGGAAAAGGAGGCGCCGCCAGGGGGGACACAAGCCGATCCAAGAAATCCGCGTGAATCTCCGAGAGTCTATGCTTATGCAGTTCTTCTTCGAACCAGACCAGTGTTTCGTCTGCAGCCTGCCACTAGCTCACAACTGTACTGCTGATAGCGTGCTCTCGGTGATCATTCCAGCTTGCCTGCAGCCTGCCACTGATTGCATATCCGCCACCGTGCCCCCTGGCACGTTGAGGCTTAGTAGAATCCGAAGGGTTGTCTGGCAAGGCTTCTGCAATCTTCAAAGGCCCCACCCCACTCTCATCGCGATGGTTGCATGCACCGCCTCCCTCCCCGAGGCAACGATCCCTCGCACAAACAAGCAGTCCGCGATCCCGAGGTCATCCCGTGGCCAGTCTCTCGTAAACTGAAGATTCGCGCTACCCGAAGTGACGACCCCTCGTACAAAAATTCGCCGGCCCAACGGGCCAGAGGCGTGCTAAGATCTCCGGTAACTGCTCAACAATATTTCTAGTTCGCGCGCGCGGGGCGGGCCCTGGGGGTCCCTGGACGAAAAGTACCCCGGCAAGGTCCCTGCAAGGTCCCGGCAAGGCCCCGGCAAGGTCCCGGCAGGGTCCCGGCAAGGTCCCGGCAAGGTACCAGCAAGGTCCCGGCAAGGTCCCTTTTCGGAGCCCAGGAGGGCTCCAAACGGTCCAAGAGAGGCCCGAGAAGCCCTCGAGACGGTCCAAGAGAGCCGGGAGACGCCGAAATATCACTCCCAAACGCCTGCGATGGCCTCAAGACGGCCCAACAGGCCTTAAAGACGCCCCAAGAGGTCCCTAAGCGGCGCTCCAAGAGGGCTCCCACAAGCAAAAACCGCCCCATTCCCTTAGGAAAACGTGCATTTTTTACATATCCGCCTCTTCGTCTTTCACACTTTTCAAGGCGGTCCAAGAGGCCCCCAAGATCACCCCAAGACGGCCCGAGAGACCCTCAAGACCGCTCAAAGACGGCCCAAGAGCGCTCCAAGAAGGCCCAAGAAACCCTCAAGAACTCTTTTTCGGAGCCCAGGAGGGCTCCAAATCGGTCCAAGAGGGGCCCGAGAAGCCCTCCAGACGGTCCAAGAGAGCCGGGAGACGCCGAAATATCACTCCCAAACGCCTACGATGGCCTCAAGACGGCCCAACAGGCCTTCAAGACGCCCCAAGAGGTCCCTAACAGGTCCCTAAGCGGCGTCCCAAGAGGGCTCCCAAAAGCGAAAATCGTCTCGTTCACTTGGGAAAACGTGCATTTTTAACATATCCGCCTCTTCGTCTTTCACACCTTTCAAGGCGGTCCAAGAGGCCCCCAAGATCACCCCAAGACGGCCCGAGAGACCCTCAAGACCGCTCAAAGACGGCCCAAGAGCGCTCCAAGAAGGCCCAAGAAACCCTCAAGAACTCTTTTTCGGAGCCCAGGAGGGCTCCAAATCGGTCCAAGAGGGGCCCGAGAAGCCCTCCAGACGGTCCAAGAGAGCCGGGAGACGCCGAAATATCACCCCCAAGCGCCTACGATGGCCTCAAGACGGCCCAACAGGCCTTCAAGACGCCCCAAGAGGTCCCTAAGCGGCGTCCCAAGAGGGCTCCCACAAGCAAAAACCGTCTCATTCCCTTAGGAAAACGTGCATTTTTAACATATCCGCCTCTTCGTCTTTCACACCTTTCAAGGCGGTCCAAGAGGCCCCCAAGATCACCCCAAGACGGCCCGAGAGACCCTCAAGACCGCTCAAAGACGGCCCAAGAGCGCTCCAAGAAGGCCCAAGAAACCCTCAAGACGGTCCAAGAGGCCCCAAGACGGCCCCATGATTGAGGTCCACAGGGGCAACCTGAACGGAAATTTTGAGCATCGACATCCATCCTGCATGATCACTAAGCCGCCCTGAAAGAATCCGGGGCCAAATTGGGCTGTTGCTACTCCGAATTTCGGCCCGCTGGGCCTGCCTCGGGATACCGCTAGCGCGCAAAATCCCGCGCAGAAAAGAAAGGACAGCTTCTGCGGCGGTGCCCAGTCGGCGAACTCCCGATCTTCGGTGTCGGCCCCTGGGGGGAGGGCGTCAACAAGCGCCGGGGGCGTGAAGAACCGGTCCGAGGAAAAGCCTCAAAAAGGTCCCTGGAAGTCCTCGGAAGCCTAAAGAGGCCTCCGGAGGTCCCAGGAGGCCGCTTGAGGCCTCTGGAAGCGCCCAGAAGTAAAACATAAAAGAAATACAAAGCAACAATGACTAAAGACTATATCCTCTATCCTGGAAGGGGCGGGGCGCGTGCGGCTGCGCAGCGCGGAAAGGCGGGCAGCGGGCGCGGGTGCGCGGGCCTCTGAGCGCCGACACGCCCCCGCAACTTGTGCAGGCGGCTGTGCACCGCCTCCGCGCGCGCGGCCGCGACGACGAACGACGACGACGACGACGACGACGAAGACGACGACGACGGACGACGACGACGACGACGACGAAGACGACGACGAACGATGACGGCAACGACGAACGAAGACGACGAAGACGAAGACGACGACGACGACGATGACGACGACGACGATGACGACGACGACGACGACGACGACGGATCTGGCCAGCGGGGAGTCGCTCTGCACTCCTGTGCAGGCAGTCCTGCGTGCTCGACCATGTGATCCTTGTTGCCCATCGGCCCTCGGTGGTCTTCGGCGGTCTTCTGCGGAGAGCTGGATGGCGGAGTTTGACCATGGGTAGGAACACCAAAAGGTGTCGATACCGCTACGTGCTGCCCGAACCTCTCCCAGGGTGCATTCTGACCAGAATCTCCAGGCGAGCCTGGCGGTGGTGACGACGGCTTCCCAGGAGGCCTGAAAGGCGAAAACGACGGAAGGGTAGTGGTATCGGCATATTTTCCTCATCTGAATGGGCCCATGATCGAACATCCGAAAGGCCGCTAGGCAAACCGGGAACATCGCACAAGCCGACCTGCAACAGGCAAACTCATGCTATGAACGGTGGACAGAACAAATTAGTTGCGACAGGAGGGAGGAGAGATGAGGACGAAGGAAGAGGAGGAGGAGGAAAAGGGAGAAAGAACAACGCGTTGTGTGGGTGTCCCCGATGGCAATGCTGTCTAGATAACGAGGCGTGGACGAGATGTGCAAAGACAAAGAAGGGAGCGATGGTCGTCCAGGGACGCTTGCCCACTCGTCGGCGCGCCCCTCTCTACAGGAAAGCAAGCTTGAGCAAACCCATCGGAACAACCATAGGAAGAAACGGATGTGTCCCCGAAAAGTGCTTGCACTATGGAATTCTCACTGTCTTCTAAGTAACTGGGCCTGCGCGTCAGTCTGGTAGCTATGTCGTCGCCACCCCGTCGCCGCCTCTTCGCCTCCCGTCGTCTGGGTCTGCGCGTCGGTCTGGCGGCTCTGTCGTCGCCGTCGCCGCCCCGTCGCCGCCTCGTCGCCGCCCATCATCTGGGCCTGCGCGTCGGTCTGGCGGCTGTGTCGTCGCCGTCGCCGCCCTCGCCGCCTCCTCGCCGCCTGCCGCCTCGTCGCAGCCCGCTTTGTACTGCTTCGCATTGCTTCGCATTCAGTTGATTCGCATTGTTTTGCATTGCGTTGCGTTGATTTGCATTGCTCTGCACCGCTAGATTGCCCAACATCGATTGCACCAGATCGCTTGCACCTCATATATTCTCCTTCCTATACACATGTAGACTCTACCCCCCTCCCTCCTGGACATCGCCCCCCTGGGACACTGCAATGTACATATGACTGTGCACCAACATTCATTTTAAGTATGAAGTCGTACCATCCCAGCCCAGCCGATGTCGCTCCCCTCCCATCATCCCTGTCTAATAATGCTATGCGCGCAGACCCGTTTATCACAAATCATAAATTTTCAAAGATCCCCAAACAAAAATCGGCACGCGCGCGTCGTCACGCGCGGATACCGAAACTCTACAAAGGAGCGAGAGAGAGAGAGAGAGAGCAAAGAAAAACCGTCAGGACTTCAAGATCGAGATTCCTGGAAACATTCAAAATCAATGGTTTTGTAGCATCTGCCCGCGCGCTCTTGATAATTCGCACGACCACCATAAGCTCGTCAACATGTGCTCCAAAAAACAACCAATCAGACCAATGAAGTTTGGGGAGAAAACGGATCAAGCAAGTATTTGATTTGGGCTCTTGGTGACCGTCCACCCAGCGTCGACTTGTTCCAGGCCCGTTGAACCATTGATGCCATACCTTCCCAGGGGCGCGCCAGTACCCGCATGTACGCCGAATCATGTTGTTCTGAGCTGATTTAGTGACACAAGCAGTGGCACAGACATAAACATTCGGAGGTCCGCGCGGAGTTCTGGCATCGGCGCTGGACCTCCGAACGTTTAGGTCCATGTCTGTGTTTGCTCCCCAGCACTGACAAATTTACCCGCCTAGATGGGGACCTACGTGGTTTCCTGTGGGTTTCGCGGTGCATACAGTACCCCCATCTTGGGGGTGGCGGGGCTGAGCTACCAGCCCCCCCCCTTTAACCTGACGCCAGGGCGCCTAACCTGACGCCGCCCCAACAGGCAATGGACCCGGCGCGCTTGGACCGCTGAAATGTGGCCGGCGCTGAGGCGGGAGCTTCATTTCGAGAGTCTTGAAGCCCCAAGCACTCACCCGAGCTGCACGTCAACGCTGTTGCCCCGGCCCCGGCCAGGGTGCTACAGGAGCGCACCGGCAACGGGACTGGCGTCAGGTTAGGTGCCCGGCGTCAGGTTAGGGGGGGACTTGTATCACGGCCCAGTGGGGACGGGGATCGGATAAACGGTGCCAAGCATGGCGCCCGCGCCTGGAGGAACTCGTGGAAGTGCTGCCGCTGGCAGCTGACTCCGCCTGGCGGCACGCGCCCCGCCTACTTGGCCGCGCCCGCCACCCCCCCCCGTGGGCGAGCGAGCCCCGACCGCTGACCCTCAGGGCGTGAATTAGCGTCAACGTGTGCTTGTCCACGGAAACCCTTCGATACGACGCAAGTGATACAGACAAGGACCCGGCACAGGCTGGAGCTTTTTACTTTTCGCGACAGCGCGATAGCGCCGTTATCGGCCCCGTCCGGCCCCCACCACCCAGGTAATGTCACGATTTGTGCTAAACTCAGAGTTGTCTTGGGTTATTCCTAGACATTCCCAGACGGCGCCGGCGCGAAACGTGACTTTATCAGTCCCCTCCCCCACCCACACGGTAATGCCCGTTATCGCTCGGGAGTATGGAAACGCGCTCCTGGGTGCTATCGGCGGAGCTGAACGGGGCAACGCACACAGTTCTGGGAACCATGAACCCACAAATGTTGCCACCTCTTGGGGGTATTCGTTTGCTTCTGCCGGCTTCCGCCAGCCTTCCACCAGCTTCCGCCGGCGGTGGTAGCATCGCTTCATTTCCGCCGCCTTCTGCCGCATTCCGCCGAGGAAGAGATGCCAACTCCTGCAATCTTCGGATACGAGGCCCTTCCTGGAACACCTCTTGTAGCGGTGCAAGCTGCACCCAAAGCGCGGCAAGATGCTGGTTTTGCCCTTGACCAGGAGAGGAGGAGGGCACACGGAGGCATGTCAGGAATTCAAGGATGCGTGGGCGCCTTGCTTCGAGGGCTCGTCCTTGGCGCCTGCTTTGACTGAGGGCTCGTGCCAATACCGCTGATTCCCGCACCTCTCCCATGGTGCGTTCTGACCAGAATCCCACCAGCCCTCTGGGCGTGAGTGGTCTGGCACGCTCGTTCTGCTGAGCCGCCTCTTCTCATTCGGGGAGGGGGTTACCCCTGCCCTTACCCCCTTCCCCTTTGGTCTGGAGGGGGGGGGGGTGCGAGAGGAATTAGAGCATTCAAGATGGCACAAGATGGCCAAGAGGGCCACAGAGAGCCACGATGGCCTCCGCTCACGATAGCCCAACTCAAGATAGCTGCCAACATGCCTTCACAAGCCCTCAAGATCGCCTCAGGACGGCTTCTAGCGCCCTTCAAGCCTCCCAAGGAAGCGTCGGAGAAGACAAAATCCTGCCAAACCCGAGTCTGTACCTGTATTGTGTGCCTTCTCGCTTTTCGCTTCCCATGGGCTCCTGAGCCCTCAAGCTGGCTCCAAAATGTCCCATGAACGCCCCAAGAGGGCCCAAAAGGCAAATGTTCGGGCCCCGGCTCCAACCCCCGTCCAGACCCCCATCCATCCATCCACCCATTCATCCACCCATCCACCCACCCATCCATCTCTATATACATATACCTATATTGATACATGACTATATGTGTGCCATCTCTTGTCCTATATATGCGTTTATATACATATGTGCATATGTATATATGTATATATACAGGTATATCTAGATGTGTATATATATATATAGGCCGCAGCACCCACCATGAACCCCCCTTTTCCTCTTGGAAGATGCCAAGAAAGAAGGGGGGCGGGTGCGGTTGGGGTTTCGGGTGTCGCGTCGTGTTGTGGTGTTGTGTTGGAGACGGAGGGAGCCTGTTGAGTATCGGGTGTTGTGTTGGAGAAGGAGGCTGTTGAGTACTGGGTGTTGTGTTGGAGACGGAGGGAGTTGAGTAGAAGGTTATTTTCAAATTCAGCTTGGGGAGGGAGCCTGTTGAGTATCGGGTGTTGTGTTGGAGAAGGAGGCTGTTGAGTACTGGGTGTTGTGTTGGAGACGGAGGGAGTTGAGTAGCAGGTTCTTTTCAAGTTCAGCTTGGGGAGGGAGCCTGTTGAGTATCGGATGTTGTGTTGGAGAAGGAGGCTGTTGAGTACTGGGTGCTGTGTTGGAGACGGAGGGAGTTGAGTAGAAGGGAGCTCAACAAGTCTTCCAAAAAAGAGCCTCAAAAGTGAGTCCGAAAATCGTGGGAATCATATATAAAATCCGATATAATCATGAGAGAGGGGGGTTCTTGGTGCAGCTTGGGGAGGGAGCCTGTTGAGTATCGGGTGTTGTGTTGGAGAAGGAGGCTGTTGAGTACTGGGTGTTGTGTTGGAGACGGAGGGAGTTGAGTAGAAGGTTCTTTTCAAGTTCAGCTTGGGGAGGGAGCCTGTTGAGTATCGGGTGTTGTGTTGGAGAAGGAGGCTGTTGAGTACTGGGTGTTGTGTTGGAGACGGAGGGAGTTGAGTAGAAGGTTCTTTTCAAGTTCAGCTTGGGGAGGGAGCCTGTTGAGTATCGGGTGTTGTGTTGGAGAAGGAGGCTGTTGAGTACTGGGTGTTGTGTTGGAGACGGAGGGAGTTGAGTAGAAGGTTCTTTTCAAGTTCAGCTTGGGGAGGGAGCCTGTTGAGTATCGGGTGTTGTGTTGGAGAAGGAGGCTGTTGAGTAATGGGTGTTGTGTTGGAGACGGAGGGAGTTGAGTAGAAGGGAGCTCAACAAGTCTTCCAAAAAAGAGCCTCAAAAGTGAGTCCGAAAATCGTAGGAATCATATATATAATCATATATATAATCATGAGAGAGGGGGTTCTTGGTGGGTGCACAGGGCTATATATATAGATACATCCATCCATCCATCAATCCGTCCATCCATCCATGCATGCATAAATCAATCCATCCATCCATACATCCATATCATCATCACAATCAGAATCATCCAGCATCCTAATCATCAGCGTCATCATCAGCATCAACAGCATCAGCATCATCAGCATCATCATCATCATCATCATCCGTATCGTTAGCATCATCAGCAGCAGCAGCAGCAGTAGCATCGTCGGCATCAGCATCATCATCATCAGCAGCATCATCAGCATCATTATCAAGAGCATCGTCATCGTCATCATCATCATCATCATAAGCCTCACCATCACCACCATCACTATCGTTGTCATCATCACCATCATGGTCATCGTCATCCTCGTCATCATCATCATCAACATCATCATCATCATCATCATCATCATCATCATCATCATCATCATCATCATCATCATCATCATCATCATCATTAGCATTGTCATCATCATCGTCACCATCATCATGATCGTCATCAGCATCATCATCATGGTCGTCGTCATCATCATCAGAAGCAGCCGCAACATAATCCTCATCCCTGTCGTCGTCATCCCCGGCGGCATCATCATCCCCAGGATCATCGAGCATCAGTCATCAGTACCAACATCACCATCATCAACATCATCATCAACAGCAGCATCATCATCCGTTCCCTCTTCCCTACTGGTCGCATTATCCTGCTATCACCCTCTCATACTCTTCATGCTCATCATGTCAATCCCGCTGCTGCTCTTCCAACTCCTCATGCTCCTCCTCCTCCTCCTCCTCCTCCTCCTCCTCCTCCTCGTCTTCCTCCTCCGCCTCCCCCTGGTCTCCTCCATCTCCTGCTCGAAGCCAGCATCAGCAGCAGCACCATCGTCCTCTTCATGGTGCTCGTGCTCCCCGTCATCCCCTGCCTCCATCCTCCTCCCCTCTCATCCTGACCCTCCGAGGAGCCGCCTGCCGAGACCTCCTGGTGGAAGAGGTCCAGCATCATGGTCTTCCCAGTGCCGACGCCGCCTCCGCTGCCCACCGCCGCGCTCGGCCCAGGACACGAAAGGAGCACGAGCCCACGCCGCGCCGAGCCTGAACGCCTGGCCTGCTGGAGGCACGCTGCAAGGATGCACTGCACGTCGGCGGCGCGCCCAGAGGGAGAGGCGGAGGGGGGCGGGCCTTCCCGGAAGGCTCAGAAGGCCATCTGGGCTTCCGGGAAGCTCCCTCCGCCTTCGCTCACAGAGGGTGTGCTAGAAGCACCAAATGCCTTCTGAGAAGGCCTGCCCGCTCTCACTTTCCCCCTCGGCGCGCGCCGCCGAGTGACGCGCAAATGCGGGCCAGGATCAGTCAGCATCGAGTCGGGAAATCGGATCGGATCGGAGTGTGCGTCGGATCGGACAGCCTCGGCATGGCGTCGACATCGAACCGGGTCGGCAGCGCCAAAATGCACAGCAGCGCCATGCAAACATCCGCATCGGATTGTCGGAATGTCGGGATCGAATGAAATCGGGCTGGCCGGAACCGATTCCGAGCCAGATCGATCGGGTAGCAGATGGACCTTGGAAGGAGGAGCTACGAGGAGGGGAAGGACAAGGAAGGACATCATGTCATCGAGGGGTGTTCGCGTACGTCTAGCGAGTGCTGACCAACCCACGCTGCACTTGTCCTCCAGCTTGCCCTACATCCGGCTGATTCGCCCAAAAGATGCATCCATGCAGTCAGAGCATCTAATCAGGCCGATTCTCACCTGCACCTGCCCTGCAACCTGTCCTTCTATTAAGGGCCAGAGGAGGAGGAGGAGGAGGAGGAGGAGGAGGTGGTGGAGGAGGAGGAGGAGATGGACGACGACGTCGACGAGGTGGGGGAGCGGAACGAGGAAGTGTCAGAAAGTGTCAGCAGGCGCCCCAGGGTGTGTGGGTCAGAGCACGCGGTCGAACCTCAGCGTACCCTTCCAGGGTATGGTGAACTTCGATGCAGCTCACAATCTCCGCAGCATCGCAACTCTGGGCGGGGGGGATTGCATCGCAGTTGCGCGCGGCAGATCTCATTTTCTGGGATGCCAGTGAAAACGCGCCCTCGCCTGCCACCCCGCTTACAAACGCCCCGTCCGCAAAAGAATCCCGCTGACAACTTTCAGCGGGCGAAGGCCGCGGCGGCGGGCGCGGCGCAGGGGCGGTCGCGACCGCCAGCTGCCGGGCGCTGGGAGCGGCAGCGCCCGGCGCCGCGGGGTCGCAGCGTCGCCGCGGAATCTCAACTGCCAGACTGAAGAGGTGGGCCGAGGTCAACGGCGGCGCCCCCGGGAAAGTGGATAGTGAGAGCCCCGACGCAACCGGGCAATCCAAGCGGGCGAGATGGATGAGAGGCAATAGGCGCGGCAATGGGCGCGCGCCTCAAAACTCGCGCTCAGGGGCCCCGCCACGCATTGACCCCAAGTTGCTTCATCCTCCCCGTCCTGCCATAGCCATTTAGGTTGAGACAGTGAGGCGGCCCGCCGACATTCAGCGTACTCAGCTTGATTCAGTGAAAGCGATGTCCCGCCAAGATTCTCGTCTGATCGAGGATTCTGCCGAGGCGGCGGCGTCGGGATGTGGCACAGAGTCTAACGCGTGGTGGGCCGTATACACACACTCACACACACACACATATATATATATATATATATATATATATATATATATATATATATGTAAATGTATACATATGGACTGGGCTCCCGAATAAGTGTCGGCGCTGCGCGCATCCCCACCAGCTCATCCAGATGTCTGGCTGAGGACTGGGTGGCCCAACCCTGACCCTGGAGGACGCTGGGATTTCCACGGCCCCTCGAGGGCGAAACACATATCTGTATCCGCGGGCCCCGCAGGCCGGGCCCTTGGGCCGCGACCCCAGCAGCAGCGGCAAGGGGCCCCGCGCACCGCCCCTGGCCGTAGACGCAGAGGCCCTACGGCCCGGGAGTTTTTTTCTCAGCACGGGCCCGTGTGTGATGGTCCTGAGGCGCGAAAGCGGCCCCCGAGGTGCCGAAATCAAAAAAAGAGCGCCAGTTGAAACAAAAACAACTCGTCGGAGATCTGCGGAGGGGGGGCATTTTCAGCATATCCCCCTTCGTCTTTCCAAGCGTCTAAGCCTGCCTCAGAGGCCTTCAAGACCGACCGAAAACAAGCCAAGAGGCCCCCAAAAAGGCCTCGAGACGGCTCCGGAAGACCCAACACGGCACAGGAGGGCCCCGAGAGGCTCCCAGGAGGCCCGATCTAGCCCCCTGGAGGCTCCCAAGCGGCCCCCAAGCGGTTTGAAACTACATTCAAGAGAGGTGGCTGGACGAGGCCCCTCGCAGGCCTAAAGAAACAATTTTCAAGCTCTCGGACCCTGGATTTCTGTATTCTGGCGGAGCTGCGCCAACAAATATGACAACGACGACTAATGTATTACTATGCTCGCGCGGCGGGCATGCGACCTTTTTTCCCCCTCTGGTATCGGTCGTTACCCTGGGTGGGGCGTCGGGCGGGAGGGTAACGGCAACGGCGGCAGCGGCGTGCAACCGCCAGGGTGCGTCCGCGCCACCAGCGCATCAATCGCCTGTGTGCACCGCAGCCTGTAGAGGGGGCCCAGGCCACCACCACCCAGTTCGATCGTACGATCGCTAGCGTGACCCAGCGGGGGGGGGGGGGCCGGGCAACGAACGCTACCATTGGGAAGGAAAGAAAAACGCTCACCATGGGGCGTCGCGGCGCCCGTGTCTCGCCAGTGCCCTCGCTGAGGGCAGAACCGCACAGCGGTCAAGAGCTATGTCGGGCGACGAGGACAAACGGCGGCGGAGGGATCGGGTAGAGACAGCAGCTGGGCAAAGCAAGCGGGGGAGGAAGGACCAGAGTAGGCTGGAACGCTATGCCTTGCGATGGATCTATCAGTTCCTCTTTCCCGCCAAAACGCCATGCTGGTCCAACGACCCTGCACGCGGCAGCTTCGCTTCCAGGGTGAGGCAAAGGAAGGTATGCAAGCCGCCATCGAATTATGGATATCAGACACCATGTCTAGCTAAATCAAATCAAACTGCTCGCGTTCGTTGTGGCGCCACGAGCCTTCTTATACGAACAGTGAGCTCCTCGCCGCCGAAGCTTCCCTGTCATCGCTGAGTGGGAGTCGCAGTGCGAGCGCGCTCTTCCTGCCGTGTTCACCACCCCCTGCCTCCCGATTTGAATTCCATCAGCGCTGTAATGACGAAGAATCTTGTCCGCAACCTTGATCGCCACAAAGATTGAGTTCAGGCCTTGTTTCTGCAGCTATTCCCGGAAGGACGCGAAGGCGAAGTCCTCCAGCACCTTCACTCCAGTGGCGAATACTTTGTTGTACTCCATCAAGGTCTGCCTGTCGGAGGCCACAGGCTGCTCGCCACGGCAGATTGGCCTCGACACTGTCGATCTCCATCGGGGAAGGCTGAGGCACAAGACGTAGGCCAGTCATGTGAGGCGGTTCTCGTGCGCGATGTCTCGTCCATGCTAGCTGCCCACGCTCGCGTCCACTATCGCGATTGACCTCCATCAGCGCGGCGCTGAGGCCCCTCATCTGCCACGCGAGCAGGCGCGCAGCCCCCGACAGGAAAGCCAACACTTCAAGCACCACGTTCGCGATCCACGCGTCGTCGTCGCGCACTCGCGACCCCGACGACGCGGCGGCTGATGCCGCGCCAGGCGCCATCGTAGAAATTCTCGTCGCCAGCGTCACCGATGATTTCGATATTGTTTTCCTTGCTACCCTGATGGTCATCGAGGTCCTGGCAATGGATGGTGACGTCGCCGCCCTGGTAGTCGTCGTTCTTGAACGAGACGATGCCAGTGGCGCAGCAATCAACGCGGCCGTCCGCTCGGCAGCCCGGCGCGCCCTCTGCCGCGGAGGAGTCTCGAATTACTTGGAGCGAAAAGAACACGAGCAATAGAGCCAGACACACACCTGCCTTGGTCAAGACTTCTGCCACTATGGCCCCCGATTGCGCCCATGTAAATGCAGCGTTCTCCTCATTCTGCATACTTTCACGCGACGTCGAGATGACGACAAAGAGCCTCTGATCGGCGACGCTGCCGCTGTCCTCGTCGACTGCGACCTCCAGGTTGTCGCCGTCTGTCGCCGCTGGCAACGGCCACCTAGCACTCCCGAAGAGTAGAACTCGCGCTGAAATTGTCGTAGAAATTGGCCGCGGCACATCGCCTCACTGACGCCGCGGGCATCGGGCGCTGGCGTAGGTCTCACGACGCGCATCACCTGGTAGCTGGTTCACAAAACTGAGGTCAGCGAGTCGGAACGCCCCTCGATCCCCTCCCTCAAGTTTGTCGCGGGGCACAGCGCGGCACCTGACCGGCTCTCCTCGCCCGGCATGTTCGCGAACGAAGAACCCCAATATGCGCGGGCGGTGGCTCGTTTGATGTCCTCGACGACCCTCCGGAAGCATATATCGCGCTGACGCCGCCCGCCAGCTCGTCGGCGTCAACAAGGTCGCACGCCATGAAGTCTTGGGTCCGCTGGGCCAAGCGGTTTCGCTCGAAGGCAATGTCCGGTCTCGATCGATGTGCGAGCCATTGCAGCTGGCCGCTGGTGCTGCGGAATGCGCGGAGCTTCTCCTCGGTCGCTGTATTGCCGGGGTTCCCCTTGCGCTCGCCCCCCAGTGGCGCGCGCTCCACTGCCTCCACGGCCTTGGCGAGGGAAACTCGGATTCCCTTTTCGCCGACGCCGATGTTCACGCCGCAGTGCTAGCACTCCTCGCCCCGCCGCTCGAGGCGCAGAAACTTGGACATACGTTGCAAAATCGAACCCGCCACGGGGCAGTCGACGCGCTGGGCCACCAGCAGGTCGTCCACGCGGCTGCGAATGATCATCTACAACTCCCCATGCAGGCGGTGCATGCACACGTCGAGCGCGAGCTTGGACCCGTGAATGCCCTTCTTCTCGAAAAAGGTCGAAGGTGCATGCGCCATGCGCGGCCGGCGTCCTCCGCGCCGCAGACCGAGACCTGCGCGAAGAATGCCTGCCCAGGCGTA